CTGCGCGCCGGGGAAGGGGGGGGGGGGCGGCGGCCCCCCACTCCCGAAGCGAGCAGGGAGAGCAGGCATCGGGGGAGGACGCCCCTGCCCCCGCCCTCGCTCTGCTGCTCCCTCCCTCCCTCGCTCTGCTCTCTCTCGCCCTCTCTCGCGCCGTGCCACGCCCCCGCGGCTCGCGGCGTGCTTTTCGGGTCGGGGGCGCGCCCGCGGGGGGGGGGGGGGGGGACGCGGCGGGAGAGGGCGCGCGGCCTCCTCCGAGGGCTGCCGGGGGGGGCCTCGGGCCTCCGAGGAGGGGCCTCCTGGGCACCTGCTCCGCGGCCCCCGGGCGCCTTCTCTGAGGAGGCCTGCCGATCAGGAGGGCGGGAGGGCGGGAGGGCGGGAGGGCGGGAGGAGGAGGAGGAGGAGGAGGAGGAGGAGGAGGAGGAGGAGGAGGAGGAGGAGGAGGAGGGGGAGGGGGAGGAGGACGAGGACTAGGAGAAGGAGTAGGTGAGGAGGGAGGGGCAGGTGAGGGAGGGATGACGCGGATGATGTAGGGCGAAGAGGGAGGCAAAGCAAGGGGAAGTGCTCCCTGGCCCCTGCTTCGCCGCTTACACTCTACCGCATCGCGTCCGGCCAATCAAAAGATCCGGCTCACGACGCTAGGCGCCGTGCCCACCATGGGGGGGATGAGAGGGAGGACGATGGACGAATGAATTGAAAAGGAACCGAACCGAATCGCGAAGCGCGAAGAACTTCGCGCGCTTGAGGGCACCCTTGGAGAACGGATGGGAAGACAACGGCGGAGGAGAAGCGCCCGCAGGCGAGACAGCTGAGGGCTTGCCAACCGCTCGGTGCAGCTCTTCAACAGCCTTCCCACGCCCCTCCCTGCTTCCCTCCCTTCTCCCTCTCCCCCCTCCCCCGCCTCCCCTGCCCTCCACTCCTTACCTCCCTCCTGCCCTCCCTCCTCCTTCTCATCCATCCTCCTCCTCCTCCTCCTCCTCCTCCTCCCTCCTCCTCTTCTTCTTCTTCTTCTTCTTCCTTCTTCTTCTTCTTCTTTCCCTCTCCTCCTCCTCCTCTCCTCCTCCTCCTCCTACTCCTCCTCCTCCTTCTCTCCTCCCTCCTCCTCCTCCTCCGCCTCCTCTCCTCCTCCCCTCCTCCTCCTCCTCTCATCATCATTCATCATCATCTCATCATTCATCATCATCATCTCATCGTCAATATTCATCATCGTCATCTCAATCATCATCATCATCATTATCATCATCATCATCATCTCATCATCATCATCATCATCATCATCATCATCATCATCATCAGCATCAATCCTCATCAGCAGCAGCAGCAGCAGCATCATCATCATCATCATCATCATCATCATCATCATCATCATCATCATCATCATCATCATCATTATTATTATCATCGTCGTCATCATCATCACCACTGCAACCACTACCACCACCAGCATCACCACCACCAACAACAACATCACCATCACCATCATCGTCATCGTCGTTATCATCAGCATCAACAGCATCATCATCATCATCATCATCATCAGCAGCAGCAGCAGCATAATCCTCTTCAGCATCGTCATTGTCGTCATCATCAGCATCAACAGCATCGTCATCGTTATCATCATCATCAGCAGCAGCAGTAGCATTATCATCAGCAGCATAATTATCATCATCATCAGCATCAGCATCAACATCATCATCAGCAGCATAATCACATCATCATCATCATCAGCATCATCATCAGCAACAACATCATCATCAACATCCATAACATCATCATCAGCAACATCATCACCATCATCAGCAGCATCATCAGCATCATCAACTTCATCGCCATCATCCTCATCCTCGTCATCATCAGCATCAACATCGTCATCGTCATCAGCATCAGCATCAGCATCAGCATCAGCACCGTCATCATCATGGTCATCATAATCAGCATCAGAATCATCGTCATCGCCATCATCATCATCACCAGTACCATCATCAGCGTTGTCTTCGTCGTCGTCCTCGCCATCGTAATTAGCATCATCAGCAGTTTCAGAATCATCATCATCATCACCATCACCACCACCACCATCATCATCATCATCATCATCATCAGCAGCATCAGGATCATCAGCGCCGCCATCATCATCATCGTCATCATCAGCTGAATCATCAGAAGCATAAGCATCATGATCATCCTCTGCAGCATCATCATGACCACCATCATCAACAACATCATCAGAATCATGATCATGACCATCATCAGCATCATCATCAGCATCATCATCGTCATCATGAGCATCTGCATCCACATTATCATCTGCAGCATCATCCCCATCCACATCCCCATCCCTTTATGTCCCTTCCTCTCCATTTCTAGATATACATATATATATATACACATAGATGTATATCGCTCTCTCCTCTCTATGTTTCTATCACCCTTCATATATACACATGTGAATATCGTGGTTTATAGAGTTGTCTCTCTATTTCTCTCTTTATCTATGTACGTATCTCCCTCTCTCTCAGTTTGCATGTATCTACACATTCATATATACAAATATGGAAGAAAGATGCATCAATGGGTGTTCGGGGAAGGGCTGCTATATAGAGTATCCACTGCCGTGACGCCATGGTGCCGTTCATATCCGAGGCGTCGCGCCAGGGCAGTCGCGCGCATCCGCAACCCGACAGCTCTTCATTGGCACATCTCCCGGCAGCCTGCAAGGCCTCTCAGCGCATCCCCCTCCGTGACGCCAAACCGTGCCCCCCTCTCAACCTTTTCGCCACCGCAGCACGAAGTGGAGTGCCCTCGTGTCCCCTCGGATTCTCTGCACCGAAGATTGTAAAACCTCGCAAGGGGTCCAAGCTCCAGATGTCCAACACTCAGGGGGGGGGGGGGGCGTGCTGGGGCTCTCTCGGGGGCATCTTGGGCCAGCTTGGAAGCCCTGCCCGTACCCAGACGCACTGAGAGCGCAGTATGCTTCGATGATTTTCGCATACCCACCACTTCAGTACTTAGAGCGCCCGAGACAACCCAAGGCCCCCAGGAGAGCCCCAAGGGAGCTCCAAGGAACACTAGAAGCCTGCAGATGGTCCGCTAGAGGAGGCCCCAAAGAGGCGCCCGAAGTGACCGCAAGTGGCATGCTAAGAAGCCTCTTGTCCACGACCCAGGTGCGGTGGTGGGATGGGCCGACTGCCACTAGATCCGCCGCCCCCTGTTGATTCATCAAAGGGGTGTCTGGCGCGCCAAACGCTTGACTGCTTAGCCCTTTCTTGACGGTACCCAATGGGGTTTCGGCCGATCCCGCAGGCCACCCGATAGTACAGTACATCGGCCCCTCCCCTCAAAACGACCCCGAAATGGCCTCCAAGACGGGCAAAATGACCAAAAGTCGGCCTCCACGATGCCTACCATACGGCCACGATGGCTCCATCAGAACCCAAAACGGCCGCAAAAAACGGCCAACATGGCCCCAAGACGGCCCCAGGACGGCCCTTTAGACGGCCCTTCAGACGGCCCGAGAGGCCGCCAAGACACCCCGAGAGGACCAACAAAAATCTTCGATGCGCTAGTTTTATGTCGGGCGCGTCCCCCTACAGGGGGAGTGTCGACGAAAATAAAAAAATACCCCCACAATACCCCAAAAAGGTCAAAAAATATTCAAAAAATAGTCACCAGACTATTTTTGGACTATGTTTTGACTCTTGTTGGGGTATTTGTTATTTTTCGTCGAAAATCCCCCTGTAGGGGGACAAGCCCGACTTAACGCTAGTCAATGACTTCAGGCCGGGCGCCCGACTCTCCGAGACGGCTCCACGGGCTACCAGAGAATCGCCGCCCCAAGACAGCCAAATATACGGGCCCCCAGGAGGCCCACGGATCGGCCCCAAGAGGGGGCCCCGAGCGAGGCGGCCCGAGAGAGGCCCCCCAAAAAATGATGCGGAGGCGGCCCCACGGACCTCCAAGACGGCCCCAGGGTGCCCAGAGAAGGACCCACGACTTCCCGGAGAGGCCCCTGAGACGGCCTCCGAAGGCCAAGAGGTCTCCTGGAGGCCCCAGAGGCCCCAAGAGGCACCCCAGTAGTCCCCGAAGAGGCCCCAGGAGGCCCACCATGAGCGGCCATCGGAAGCCTCCAGGCCGCCCCCGAAAAGCCTCCAGAGCCACAAGACGGCCTCAAGAGATCTCTTTTGCCGCCTCCTCCTCCTCCTCCTCCTCCTCCTCCCTCCTCCTCCTCCTCCTCCTCCTCCTCCTCCTCCTCCTCCTCCTCCTCCTCCTCCTCCTCCTCCCCCTGACTGAAAAATACTGTCCACCTATACCAGGTGCCAACATACGTCCCTGTTCAGACTCTGGGACCAGAAGGTTTGTCATCCCAACCGTCACGAGAAACGCTCCAAGGATGGGAGAGCCCATGTGCCCCATCCGAATCGACAAGATGACACCTACCCTCAAGGGCATGACCAACCACTACGATCCTCCCCCTCCTCCTCCTCCTCATCCTACTCATCCTCCTCTCATCATCCGTCCTCTTTATCTCTCAGGTGTTCCCCCAAGGGATTCCACAAGGACTGGGGGAACACATAGTCTCACATATTGACCAGACTTTGGCACACCGTTTTGCCGCATTGGCGCTTACCCAAGGCAGAGGGCGGCGGCGGTCAGCCGTAGACGTCTTCGATACTCCTACTTCGCTCGTTGTTGCCCCGATTGCGATCGAAAGCTGCCCTTTCCACTTGACCCATCAGAAGCTGTACAAAGTCAACATGCTTTGCGGTAGTGGATCTCTTGTCGTCGACCGAGCAATCTGCGTGGCTTGTTGGTTCAACGCGGCGCACATCGCGCGCGACATTGGCGGCATGCCGCCCTCGCACCAGCGCCGCGCAGATCTTCGTGGAAGCTCCGCTCCCACTTCGGCGCGGTGAGCTTGTCTCCTCCTCCTCCTCCTCCTCCTCCTCCTCCTCCTCCTCCTCCTCCTCCTCCTCCTGCTCCTCCTCCAGATTGTCGAAGCATCGGGC